AAAAAAAAAAAAAAAAAGGTAAGAAAAAAAAAGATACGGACTTAACACAGCTGGGTTTGAATCCCACTTACTTGCCTGTTGCGGCCTCAGATAGTGAATTTACATCCTTGAGAATCAATTTCCTCATCTGCAAAGTAAAGAACCTAACTCAGGTCCCTCTGAGTCTTAAAACTGTTCTTCCACAATACTCATTTTTTCAAACATGTCACACACACAAGAATGGGGTGGAGTACAGGGACCTGGACTGGAAGTAGGGAATCCCGGGTTTGAATTCTGCCTTGTACTCTGCTCAGCTGTGTGATCTTGGGAAGGGATGTGCTATCACCTCTCCGGGCCTCAGTTTCCTCATCTGTAAAATGGGGGTTGTAAACATACTTTTCACTGCATTCGTCAAGGACATCCCACGAATAATAGGCACAGAGCCCAACACCCAGTAAGTGTTTAATGAACAAGAGTTAATCGCCATTTATTCACTATAGTTTTATCTGAGTGCTTACTATACTCCAGTCACCTGGAGCCCTATTTAGGGCACCGCTTTTTTGAGATTCTTCTTTCACGGGTAGGATATTTCTGTCAATGCCCTCTTCCTTAACTGACTGGGAGTACTCCCAAGAGCAGGGAAGGGGCCTTCCTCATTCCCTCTGCCTGCGCTTTCAGTTTCCCCCAAAGCGTGCCCCATAGGAAAACTCACTAGGACTCAACTCACGCCAAGCCCCGCCCCCTCCCCGGGTGTCTATTCAGCATCCAGGAACGCCCCAATTTGGCCCAGGGGCTTCTGGGAAACGTGGGCCAGTAGCAGCCGGGTACACGAACTGACGTCGAGCATATACTACAATCCCCAGAGGGCTCTGCTCGCCAAAGGGAAGAACCACGCACCCCCGGCACCAACCCTCCCTTGGGGCATGCGCACAGGGACCCGGGTGGCTGGGGGAAGGGAACCCGGACGTCCAGCTGCCGGGCGCCGGTCGAGCCCCGCCCTCCAGTGCCTCCGGCGCGGCGGGTGTGAGCTCCACGCCCGGAATACCCTTCCCCCACCCCAGACCACGGCTCTAAAACTGCTTTCTCCCGGTCCCTCTGACCCTTGAGGATCCCGGATTCTTCCCCCAAAGCGCCCTCGGGTCCAAAGACCCAGACCCCAACACATTGCTCAAAGATGACAAATGCTCTCCGATCCACTCCGTTCGGGAGACTAGGTATCCCACTTTCAATACCTCTCCCCAAACTTTCTCCAATTCTTCCGACTTCCAAACGCCTCTAGACTTCACCTCCAAACTCCCCATCCTATCCCAAGATGCGAACACTAAACTCTTCCCAGGACCCACTCCCTGCCAATGCGTCTTGAAGTTAAAGATTCCTTGACCCTAGTTCTCTTACTTTTCCAAATGCTCGGGATCCCAGCCCCAAACCTTTCACACCTTTTCCAGAACACTACAGAACCCCTAATTCAACCCGTCTGGAAGACCCAAGTAGGGTCTAATCTCCCGATTCCTTGTCCCAAAAGTTCCTTCCCTTGGTTTTCTCACTTCTCCAAACACCCCATGTCCCAGCTTCAAACTCCCTCCGCTTGAAAATCCTGCCCCAACAACCTCACCTCCAAACCTGGATCTCCAACTAAGTCTCGGGTTCCCAGACCCTCCCAACCCTATCATCACCATTAATCTGCGCCCCCCGTTCCCGCCCAGACCCCGCCTCCGCAAATCTTGGGGGCGCGCCTCGCCCTCCCCCTACCCCATCCAAGGTAGATCCCAAGCCAGGCGGCCACTCACCTCAGCCGCCAGGTTCTCAACAACCACCTCCCGAAACGCCTACAGCGTTGCGACCCACCAAAGCTGGGTTGGGGCCTCGCTCACCTCCGCTGGGCCTCTCCTTCTGGCCTCGGGCCCACCCAGCTCCGCCCCGGAGCCGAGCTGCGAGCTGCGATTGGCTGGAGTCCTGCCCGCCGCGGGGCGCCGATTGGCTGGGCGGAGCCACCCCGGTAGCCTGGAGACGCCCGATCCGCCCTCCCTTCTCTAGCGCCCCGGGCCATTTAAAGGATTCCGACGTGCCAGGGGGCAGGGCCGTGTCTTCAGTGTGGAGGTGGCCGGTCTATGAAAACCGCTTCCTTTAACTCAGCTACAGCCCTCGCTCGGAGAGCGTCAGCATTGCTCTCTGGGGTCCCTTTACACCCGGCCTGGACCCCATCGCGGAGCAAGACGGACTGGTTTGCGCCTCTGCTCCCCGCTTTCCAGGCGGGCGGGGCTGCAACTCGCGGAGGCCGCGCCCCGGGGATCCGAGGGCGGCGCTGTGAGCGCGGCAGGATGTCGCAGCGAAAGCCCAGCCAATAGTTTGGCCCGGCCTGTGTTGCCTGGGCGACCGCAGCCCCGCCTCTCCCCTACTGCCGCCCTCCGGCTCCCCCGACCCGTTACCCCGCGGCCCCTTCTTAATCCTCAAGTCTTCTCCGCCTGGTCAGTCCCTCCCGGGTCCCACCCTCTCTCCTCTCTGAAGTTGGCTCCTCGGCTGCTGGAAACTAATTCATGGTTCCCCACCGCCCTGGGGACAAAGTCCAGACTCCTTCCTTTGCCACAAAGCCCTTCACCATCTGTCCTAGGCACTCGCCTTGCTCTCTGCGATCCTGCCGCACCAATTCACTTTCCGTTTTTCTAAAATAGCCTCAAGCGCCCACCGCCACCACTAAAAGAGGGATTTGTGTCTATTTTCTTCCCTGTCTTGCTCCAGTGCCTACAACAATGCCAGGCACATAGCAAGTGCTCAAAAAGGAAAATGATCTCAGCTTTGCTACCTGAGCTGGAAAAAAAAAGAGAGAGAATGAAAGGCTTCTGGATCTTTAAGCTTGTTTCCTCATCCTGAAGATATACCCTCAGTTCCCTGGCTGCCTCTGCTCAGAACTCATCCCAAAGGCGTTCTCCTCTGCGAAGCCCTCCCTGACAGTCTACGTTAGGTTAGGACCCATCCCGGGCTCCCATGGCCTCCTGTGCTTCCCCCATCCCAGTCCTGGGCTGTCACTGTCTGGACTGTGGGCTCCCAGAGGACCCAAGGTTATGTCTGTCACCCGCCGCTTACCCGCAGCGTTACCCAGCACTGGGCTGGGCACTGAGCAGGCGCCCAGTGAGAGTCTGTTAAATGCTCAGCAAGCAGCGTCCAAGAAAGAGAAATCGAGAGGGCCGAAATAAAACACTGCTGGTGTCCTCTGAAAGCCGAGTTTTCCTAAGGGGAGAGAGAGGAAGGCAGTTTTCTCCAGGCCACCTCAGGGAAGGGAGGTTTAAGGCTCCTCAGGCCAGTTCTTGCCGGTTGGAGTTTGTCTACCAAGTCGCCCTGCTGTTCGCAATGTAGGACTGGAAAGGATTTCTCAGGGGATACAAGTGGGCAGGAGGATGGGTGGGTGGGTTGGGAGGGGTGGAGGTAGGGAGAGAAGAGTGGCTCACCCAGACTTGGGGAAAGTGTCCCTGGGAACAAAGGAAGGAGACAGTAGATTCCAGAGGGACATGATTAGGAAGGGGCAATGCTTCCCCTCCCCCCTCCCAAAACTGCTCCTCCTCCAGGATGCCCATCTCAGGAAAGCCCTACTGTCACTCTGTCCCCAGGTTACAGCCCATACCCTGCTCCGCTTCCTGGATGCCTCCCTCCCCTCGCACAGGGACTGTCCGCTCAGGCTCCTGAGTGCTCCTGCCACCCACTCTCTCCTCCCCCCTTCAAAGCCCCTTCCTTGGTCCAACTCCCCCGGCTCTCAGCCCCACCTTCAAATGGTAGGCAAGGGAAGCTTTATAAAGCACAACCCCAACTGTCCCCCACCCCCACATACTCCACTCCTTGCGTAAAACCTCAGAATAAAGCTCAAAGGTTTTACAACACAATTTAGCTTCCATGGACCAGCCTCTTAGTTCTAACTATCCTCGCCACAGAGTAGAAGTATTATTAGCTGTAGGGGATAGGTTTTAGTTTTTCAAAGGAGCCATGGAAGAAAGCATGGCTCCTGGCCTTTGCTCATGTTGTTCCTTCTGCTGGGAATACTGTCATGCCCTAGAACCTTCTCTTGGCCTATTCTTACCAAACCAGGATTCAGGTTGGACATCCCCTCTGCCACAGCTTTTTTTGCTCCTCAAGCTGGGGCAGATTTCCCACTAGACTGTGAGGTACATGGAAGCGGGGCTCATGGCTATCTTGGCCACCACTGGGTCCCCAAAGTCACCACTGGGTCCTTAGCACAGGGCTGGACACAGGAGAAGGACTCAGTAAACTTACTGAACAAATAAATGATTGAATACCCGAAAAATGTGACACACAGGCAGGCGGAGGGAGACACTGAAATACTCAGACAAAGGCAGAGAGAGGAAGAATCAGAGTCAGGTCTTCTAGAACAATTTGAAGCTCTTGGCTCAAAATTTATTGCTCCCTTCCTCTTTTCCTCATTTCCCACATGCCATTCTCCTAGATGGGGCCAGAGTCCTAGTCGTCGTACTGGTGGGACGGGTAGGTGCTGTGGCCATCGTACTCAGCAGTGGTGAGGCAGCGCAGCATGAAGTGGCCCAGGTCGTGTTTGGAAATGACCCTCGAGGGCCCTCGTCCATCCAGGGTCACTGAGTAGGCTCCAGTGAGCGGCTGGTCTCCTGTAAAGGTAAAGACAGACGGACTGGGTGGAGCAGATGTCCTGTCCCCTCCCCCAACAGGCCATAACCTTCCCAGAGTTCCTACTGGGTGCCCAGCCCAGGTGGTATAACAGCCGAGAATGGACTTCCCAGGTATGGCCACTTGTCTACACCCTTTGCTTCATTCAGTCAGCATGAATTGATTATTGATAGATAATTGATAGATAATCATTGATTATCTATTATGGGCAGCCAGCAAGGGACAATAAAGACAAGAATCCCTGCCCTTAGGATACAGACATTCACTAAGAAAAGGCAACTAATATAAGAAAGCAAAACACACAATATGTTAGATGGAGAGAAATAAGCCAGAGGACAGGTAGGACCTATTATTATTATTATCATTATCATTTTTTGAGGACAGGGTCTTGCTCTGTTGCCCCAGCTAGAGTACAGTGGCGCAATCATAGCTCACTGCAACCTCCAACTGCTGTGCTCAAGGGAGCCTCCAGCCTCAGCCTGCTGAGTAGCTGGTACTACAGGCGTGCACCACCATCCCCAGCAAATTTTCTTTTTTTTTTTTGTAGAGACTGGGTCTTGTTCTGGTGCCCAGCCTGGTGTCCAACTCCTGGGCTCAAGCAACCCTCCTGCTTGGGCCTCCCAAAGTGTTGGGATTACAGGCGTGAGCCACCACGCCTGGCCAGGACCTATTATTAACCCTATTTTACAAATGGGCAAACTGAGTCTTAGAGAGAGGAAGTCACATCCCAGGGGTTACAAAGGGTCACTTCCCTGTGGCAATGGCTAGATTTGGGCCCCTCCCTCTGAATGCTTTCCTCTCTCTGGACCCCATGGCAGGATTGAGTGACCTGTCAAGTGTGGGTCTGCATTTTATAGGGAGTGGAAGAGCAGTCATATTTTTCTGATTTGGTGAACAAGGAATTGGTGTGTCCTGATGCCAGGGGTACAACGAAGTCTTTTTTTTTTGAGACAGAGTCTCACTCTGTTGCCCTGGCTAGAGTGAGTGCCGTGGTGTTAGCCTAGCTCACAGCAACCTCAAACTCCTGGGCTCAAGTGATCCTCCTGCCTCAGCCTCCCAAGTAGCTGGGACTACAGGC